AAAAAAAAAAAAAAAAAAATCCCCTGAAAAACAATGACAATCCTTTAACTTGCATCCCACAATGACAGGGATAAACTTAAAAAGCAGCATAATCATATTCTAGTGTCTTAGCTCCGCCCACCCCCCAGGCTAACTGCTAAATGAGTTCAAGTTTATGGGTGGTGGGGGGGGGGGGGGACCGGCAGGGAAGAAGGTGGGAGGACTGTAGGTTTTTAAATCCAAGTTCTCTTCCAACCACTACAAGGACTTCACTCTGATGACGAGTCGCCTGTGCTGAAGCTGTAGGTGACATATTGACAGGGCCCTCCGACACCTGCCATGAGTGGCTAGCACTGTCAACTCCCTTGTAATCCTTCTCTCAACCTGGCCCTCCTCTGGAGTGGCAATGATAAGAATCAGGTTTCCTTTCTTCCTAATGAAAGCTAAATTTCCTCCTCGGTCAAAGATGCCAATCTCTATTCAAAACACAGTTTACCCCTTAGTATCCCAGCCGAATTAACATGGCAGGTTCTGAATTTCATTACTATCTGCTCTCAGCAAAAAAGAATGAAAAGCCATTCAACATAACAACACTGTACTAAAGAGCTTTCCAGAGAGACTCTCAGAGGGATAGCTGCACACTTACTGCAGAACACCCTTGAGAACAAGTGCTATTACTATTCCCTTCATTGAATAGGTTAAGAGGTGGGCTGTGAGCTGAGGGTGGGTCGGTGATGCCTGGAGAGTACTCACTGTTCAATGCTGGACTCCTATCTCCTTAAGCTAACACTCCTTTGGGAGGAAAAAAAAAAAAGATTGGATTGGGTTTTTCTTGGGTGGGGAGGGTATTCATAAAGCTTTAAAAAAAGAATGAAGCAGTATCTGGAACTAGACCCAAGACCAAGATCATGAATAGTATTTTAACCCAGTAGATTCAGTTCCACGCGGTCCTCATTAGCTCCCATAATTACAACTAAGAAGGGAAGGAAATGACTTATTTAAGCATATTTGAGGGTTAAATCATTAGGTTTCCTGGGTCCAACTGATACTCCCTGAAAATGACCAACTCCTTCACTTATATGCTCTTAAATAGGGGTGAAATGACAAAATAAATTAAGAATATTCCCAATATAATCTGTACAAACAAGCACAATGACAGGGTGGAGGAAGGGGGTGGTGGGAGTGCTGGGGTAACCATGAGAAGGGCAGGCGATATTAATTTGGGGCATAATTCATGTCCAATTCCTCCCTGCTTAGATTGGGTGATGAGGGAGGGGAAACAGCCAGAGGACTAAGGCAGCTTTCTCAAGCACGGACCTCTGGGCCTGAGGTCCATCTCAGGACGGGTTCCATCTCCCATCTCCCTGGTATTTAGCTGATAAAGGAAGACAGAGCTACTTGACTGCCTGGCCAGTGTGTAGGCAGGGGCTCTGTACCAGGAAAGGAGTCCCCTGTGAGAACCTGTAGTGACCACTATTTTCAAAACCAATGCTAGTTAATGCCCTGAATGCTGCCAGGATAAAGACGGCCAGCAAGCGACAGAAGACCCACTGCGGAGACCTCCCCAGGCCTACGGCCTACAGCCAGCCCCCAACAAGCGGAGGCTGGCTTGGTCCGTTAGGAAGTAAAATACTAGACTGGGAGAAGGGACTTCTGCTAACCAGTGTAAGATTTTAGGAGGTTCATCTCCCCGACTTCCAGTCCCCAGCACACTATTTCCTGCACCGACTCATACGCCAGTGGAATACAGGGCAGGAGTGCACGGGCGGGCAGTGGCCGAGCCTGCTGTCTGGCACTTTGATGTGCGGTTCTCGCCACGGCGGCGCTGACTGCAGAAGCAAGGCTAGCAGCTGCTTCCCACCACCTTGAACGAACCGCTAGGACACTCCCAGCTTCCCTCTGCTCTCCCTGGATTCGTCAGGTGAACCGAGCACGGGCAGCCCCAGCACTCGGAGAGCCCCAGGCCAACTGCCCCGTGTGTGCTGCAGGACAAAGGACGGCCCCACGGCCATGCTGAGCAGCCTGACCACACCGCACCGCACCCGGGCAGGATGGCTGTACTCCTTTCATTGTGCCACATGCGCTTCCGGCTGCTTCCAACCCTGTCCACGACCGCCTCGCCTCACCTCGCTTACCTCCCCCGAATTTTTGTGGTTTGCTTTTGTTATTTTCGAGATGAACCTGTAAACGTGAGAACTCAGGGATCTGAGGTACTTCACATAAACACACTCAAGTATCAGTCTTTCATTGTTTTAAAACAAGAACACAGGAAAACAAGTCCCATTCCCTCTCCGCTCAGAAATGTGTGCAGGTGCCACCAGGCTGACAGTGGCTACCTCTGCACCACATCGCTGATTTCCTGTACACATGACAGCAAGTTGTTTAGGACGGGGTTTGCCCCAGGAACCCCGGTGACCGCTGAAGACACCTGCAGCTCTTGCAGGCTGAGTTCCAGTTTGCTCACGGCCTCTCGGAAGGCAAACTTGTTGCGAGTCTGAGGGATGCAGTCCACGTAGCCTGAGCAGTAGTCGAGCAGCTGGTGCCCGGTGTCCACCAGCTGGCTGTTGGGCACGGGCTCTGTGATCGCACTGGACAGTAGGTCAGCACATTCCAGCAGGGCCTCCTTGCTGATTTTGTCTGCTGAGATCTTCTCGGCCGCCTGTTTGGTCTTCCTCAGAGCCACTTTAGTACCTGCGGTGCCGTTGGCCATCCGAGCTGGCGAGATGGAGGATGTGGGCGGAGGCACTTGAGGTGGGGGTGCCGCTGGCCTCCCAGCTTTCCCACCACTGGGCACCACTCCTGGAGCTGCCTTTCTCCCTCCTTCCTGCGTTTCTGGTGGGGGCTGTCCTGTGGCCGGGGCAGGCGGCTCCTCCGTGGGTTCGGAGCCCACAGCCGAGTGCTGCAGTAGTCTCATCACTGGTGGGGGGGGCGGGGCACACTTTGGTTTTACCCGTCGGGGTCGGTCCTTGTCTCCAGAGGATGTGACCTGATGCTCCGATAAGAGCTTGAATTTGTTCCCCTGAGAGTCTGTGCCAATGAGCTGCACATCAGCTGGAGTGTGTTTCAGGGTGGGCGAGATAAGGACTGGCACTTTGTGGTTGTGAGTGGTCGGAAGGACGGGTGTGGCCTTGGCTGGGGAAGACCAGCCTGGCTGTTCTCCATCCTCTGGGACTCCAGGCATCCCAAGTCGGGCCCCGCCATTCCTCTCTTTGTTCTTGGGGGCAGCTGCCACTCCAGCCACCCCCAGCCCAGCAGAGTCCTTTTCTGTGACGGCTGGGTCCCCAGAGGCAGCTCTGAGAGGGAGAGCTGTGGTTCCTCTGGGCAACAGCTTGGCTTTTGGTCTCTCTCTGGTTGGAGCAGCACCTTCCTCTGACTTTTTGGGCAGTGTGTCATTGGCCCTGTCCACACTCTCTTCTGGCTGAGAAGAGGTGGACACTGTCCTTTCTACCTGGAGTTTGGCCCTCTGGCAGTTCCTGGGAAGGGTCATTGCCATCCTATCCTGCTCTGGAAGCCCTGAGGACATGGAAGATGTAGAGTTTGACCTTGGAAAAGGCTTGGAGGTGTCATCGCTGGCTGTGGGCTTCCCTGCCCGCAAGCCCAGGGTCTTCTTGATTAAGCGTGGCGTGAAGAAGCCTGTGATGCCGGACCACCCACCTCCAGCAGGGCTGCTGCCCCCTCCCCCACCGCCATCGTCATTACAGAGGTTCCTCTGTGCAAAGCTCCCCCCATAGCACTTGGGTGGCACTAGATTCGCCTCTTGCTGGGCAGGAGTGAAAGAGAACCCATCGGCCTGCTGCAGAGAAGCAACGGATGAGAAGTTACCCGTGAGTTCGTATTTTTTGTGGGGCTGATTCTCCATTTCTCGGAAGGAGCTACTCCGTTTAGGGGGGGTGGGAGCGTTTCTCTTTTTCATGAAGGAGCTAAAGAAGCCTCCCTTCCGGTCCCTGGTGAAGCATGTCTCTTTGGCATCTTCCAAGAGGCTGCTGGGTGACTTGTCTCTTTGTTTTCGAGGCAGCGCTGGAGACCCACTGGAGGCCTGGGCACTTCTAATGAAGCCTGCAGGGAAATATCTGTCAGTGCTGTGAGGACGAGAAGCGAGCCCCTCACTGCTGAGCTGCCCAGGCTGAGCTACAAGAGCTCTGCCAGCGTCTGTGAATGTCGGGGATTGTGGGGGTCAGACAAAAGTCATAAACATGACCGTTCCACAGCAATTAGTGTTCCAAATATGACGTATGTGGGTGATAATGGGGAAGAGTCACCTGCTAGGTACTACCTCAGCACTCACCTCTTCTCTAGGACTAGGGTACAGCCTGGCCTCATCTGTTGGGCTCAAATTTTTTTTTTTTTTGAGAGGTTTTTGCTATAGAGCGTGTGTGCTCGCCAGAGAGAGAGACAGAGAGACAGAAAGCGAGAAATCACCCCCCAGGGGGGATGGCCACGCCGCAATCCCTTCTCCTCCATTCTCCTCTCGGGATCTTGGGCACGCACGCACACGTGCCCGGTGTGAGTTTTAACCACTGGGTCCGGGACTCGAACCACAGTCGACTACATGGGAGTCCAGCAACATAGCCATTACGCTAACTGCTGGTCCCAACAGAGACTTTTCTTTTTTTAACCAGAATTGAGATCGTGACTATTTGGGACCAAGGTGCTGAGGAAATGGAGCTGGACGCCATGCTGGATGAACAGTTCAGGACGACTACCATGGCAATGTGGAGCCAAGGCCCCACGTGGCAGGTCAAACCAAGATATGCTTGCCTCAGAGAAGATGGGCATGAAAATGGGCCAAAAACACCATACCCCATGGTTCTTTAAATAAAGTACTTCCTATTTTGATTCTACCTGCCTAGAGACCCATACCTGGTGCTGAACTGGAGGCAGAATTTTCTGTGGCATCTTGTGCTCCTTCAATGTTCTCCTTGTTCTCCACCTGTTTCTTCAGCGTCCGAGTCTTGGAAGGAAGTACAGGTAATCGGGGCAGGTATGGAACAACAGATGAGGAGGAAGCGGCTCTTCCAAGCTCCTCAGCTACTTCTGTGAGGAAGACAAGGGGATTGAAAAAAGGGCAATGTCATGACAGAGAAAAGGAGTCTTCAGAGAAGGCATACAACTGAGACAGGATCACAGAAAACAGTATAAAATATATAAATGGAATCACAGGGTAGGTCCTCATTTGTCTGGCTTCTTTTGCTCAACATTGTATCTGTAGCCATCCAGGCTGGTGCATGCATTGTTGTATGTGTTCTTTCTTGCTGCTGTATAGTATTCCAAAGTGTGACTACATCAAAATTCATCTGTTCTTTAACTGATATTTAAAACTTAACCAGTTTGGGGCTAGTACTGATGTACTGCTAGAAACATCCTGCTACTTGTTTTTTTTTTGAGAGATTTTTGCTATAGGGCGCATGCGCTCGCCAGACAGACAGAGAGAGAGACCTAGAGACAGAAAGCAAGAAATCACCCCCCAGGGGGGATGGTCACGCCGCAATCCCTTCTCCTCCATTCTCCTCTCGGGATCTTGGGCACTCATGCACACGTGCCCGGCATGAGGTTTAAGCCACTGACTCCGGGACGCGAACCGCGGTCAACTACGTGGGAGTCCACCGACATAGCCATTACGCTAACTGCTGGTTCCCCTGCTACTTGTTTTTTGGGTCACAACTGTATGCATGCCTGTCTGGCATAGACCTAGAAGAACTGGTAGGTCAGGATACATGTATGCTCAGCTTTACTGGGTCCAGGCAAATTGTGTTCACACTGTGAAAGTCCTGGTTGTTATGCATGCTTGTGAAAATCTGATGTATCAGGGTTTCTTGAGTTTCACCTTAGCTATTCTAGCAGGCATGCTGTAGGACTTCAGTGTGGTTTTATTTTGTACTTCTCTGATGAGTGTGGTTGACTGAACATGGTTTCATATCAGCTATCCTAGTTCAGAAGTTGAACAAGGTAGACAAACATCTGCAGGTAGTTTGATTTTTAGGCTCTATCTTTCAATAAAAAGGAGGGTAGATACAACTCATTCAATTTCTTACAAATGAAGCAAATTAGGCTCTTGAAAAAGTATTCACCCCTTTAGTAAGCATTAGGCTGATTAAAACTTGGCCATGGGTTTAATATCTTTTATTGATGCAAAGACACATGTTGCTATTCATCCCTAAATAACAATGAAGCAGATAGGAAAATCTAATTTGTGAATTTCTATATTTTGACTTTTCTGGCTATTATTATTTAAAATATTTTTAAATTTAATTTTATTTATTTATTTCATTTATTTTTTAATTTGACCAAAGAGAGACAGAGGGTGAGAGTGAGAGAGAGAGGAAGTGAGAAGGCAAGTCACCATATTCAGGACACGAACCCTGGTTGGCCATGTGGGAGTGTCCAGTGCCTTAACCACCATGCTGCCTGCTGGTCCCCTCTGGTTATTATTTTTAAAGATTAACTCCTCCTAAGCTGTGCCAATGGGATACCTTTCTTACACTCCTAAAAACAGCAGCAGATGCCAAACATTCTCTTTTTTGATTATAAGCTCTAAAAATAGGACCTCAAGGATGCTGGTAACTGTATTCCATGCCAGCTAGATGATTCTGAGGATGAGATCAATGGAGAAGCAGATGTAAGGAAAAACTGGTTGGGAATGGGGATGGGAGAAAGGTGGGTAAACGGGAGAAGGAAGCCCAAAGGCTACCTAAGACCTTCCTGGCTTCAACTGACCCCGACGTTAAGCACAAGCCTTCTTTTCCTTGATTTGCTTATGAGTCAATAAATCTTCCTTTTACTGCTTAAGAAAGTTTTAGTCCCCCCCCACACACACACATTTATAATCAACTCATAAATATATCCATCCTTTCTTTAAGAATTGTCTGCTCTCTGTGTCTTCAGGCCCAGTACAGCACCTGCCCTAGATTAAATGATAACAAATGTATGTGTTGAATAATGTTAAAATTTCTTACTTAGCAATTGTGAATTGAAGTTAGTTTGAAATTCGGTAAGGGTTGATTTTCTAAAGAGATACATTTTTGGGACCAGTAGATGGTGTAATGGTTATGTCGTTAGACGTAGCCAACCATGGTTCCAGTCCTGGACCTGGAGGCTTAAAATTCATGCCAGACACGTGTGTGTGCGTGCTCAAAATCCAGAGAAGAGTGGAGGAGAAGGGATCACGGTGTGGCAATTCCCCCAGGGGGGCGATTTCTCACTTTCTGTCTCTCCGTCTCTTCAGCAAGCACACACACCCTATAGCAAAACATATCTTTCCTTTTAAAAAAAATGGATTTTTCAAAAGTAAAAATATTAAAGGATTCAACAGAAGTTGAAAGTTGACACAACAGTCCCAAGGAAATGGACCCTACGCTTTGGCTGACAGTCCTGACTGCTGGCACTCTGACTCCACAGGAAAGGCAGCTGCACACTAGGACCCAAAGGGCCTGCAGCGTCTTCCCCAGCCTCCTGAAGCTCCGCAGATCACCAGACCAGACTAGGATGAAGGCTCTGTTAGACTTTGGTGGTATACTTCTCTTTTCCCCTCTTTTTCTTTTTATTGAGTTATGGAAAGTCGTGAAGTGTTTTTCTATGCAAAACTGCATCATGACTTTCCCCAAAACCCAATAATTATCAGAGGACACACGGACAAATGGGGCAGGGGGCGGGGATCAAGCTACAATCCTTTCTTCTCTCCATTTCTCCACCCCATAAGGATCTTGGGCACAAGTGCACACATGCCCGACATGCTTTTTAAGCTACCGGAGCTGGGATTCAAACTGTGCTCAGCCATGTGGGATCCAGCTCCCAATGCACAGTACTTAACCACTAAAGGAAGCAAATACTTCTAATAGTTTTAAACTTGAACATAAGTAGTCAACTCTTCACTTATCAAAGTAAGGAAAAATTTGAAAAACATGTACACAATTTCAGAATGACATCAATGTCCAATTTGCAAGTGAAACTAAGAATTCTGTATTTTTAACTCTCAAAGAATACGCTCTCTCTTTAAGACAATTAAGGTTATGATTTGACTTCTGCAGATAATTTTAGAGAGGCATTATATATAAAAGAAAATGCCTGTATGTGTCTAGGCATTTTCTTTTATACACTTCGTTTTTAAAGAATTATTTTATTTAACTTTTTAAAATTTATTATTTTAACTTGACCAGAGAGGGAGAGAGAGAGAGGGAGAGAGAAAGAGGAAAAGTGACAAAGGAAGTCACCAGGTCTGGGATTTGAACCATGATCAGCCATGTGGAAGTCCAGTGTTCTTAACCACCATGCCACCTGCTGGCCTCCATACACTTGTTTTTTAAATAAGGTTTAGCTCTGCTGATAAACAAACCTATTTCCTAAACCTCTTTCATGTTAGTACATTTTAAAATATTATTTCAAATAATCAATTATATGGATGTAATAACTAATAGTCCACTAGATATTTAGGTTGTTTTTAATTTATCAACATCATAAATTTACTCAGATATGGCATCCTTGTAGATGTGTCTTTGTTTAGACTCTTAATTATTTCCTTAAGATCTATTTCCAGAATTGTAATTTCTGGGTATTGCTTTTATGACTCAGTTCCACCTCTGGAAATGTGGTTTAGGAAGCTGAAATATTTTTTACACTAATTTTTCCCTCTTTTCTTCCCTACATCATAGGCATTGATACCTAACCACCAACCTTACTAAAAAACAAACTTTCCTTATGGAGAGACTGAGTAAATATCTAATTAAAATATAATTTCAATACACAAAGGCACATTGAAAAATAGCACAAAAGCAACATAAGAATAATAAAGGTCAGAGCCCAAAATATGAGAATTGAACATTTTTGAAATGTTATTATCAACATGGCCACGACCATCACCCAGAAACCCCCAGTTAAATCCACAAGATTCTTACCTTCAGAAATGCTAGAGTCATGGAACATGGTTTCAAAAGCTTGATGTGTTTCGGCAAAAGAGGGCCTATCAGCAGGGCTCCACTTCCAGCCTATGTAAAGGAGAAAACCAAGAATTATATATCCAGAGGCATGCCTGATGATGAATTCCATGTATCATGATGTGTGCTTTTATTTATTTATTTTTTGGAGAGGATTTCGCTATAGGGCGCATGCGCTCACCAGAGACAGAGAGAGAGAGAGACAGAAAGTGAGAAATCACCCCCCTAGGGGGGTGGCCATGCCGCAATCCCTTCTCCTCCATTCTCCTCTCGGGATCTTGGGCATGCACGCACACGCACCCGGCGTGAGTTTAAGCCACCGGGTCCGGGACTTGAACCACAGTCAATTATGTGGGAGTCCAGCGACACAGTCATTACGCCAACTGCTGGTCCCAATGTGTGCTTATAAAGCATGACCACGACAGCAGCTGTAGTCCCAAACCCAGAGGTATAATGACCCCACTTCCTAAGACTGGTCCTTCTATTTGGCTCCAGCTCCTACTTCCTCTACTATAAGGATGAGAAGAGGTGGGAAGACACTTTAGAAATGGCAAGGTTTTTTCCAATGGAAAAATGAAAAACGTAAAAAATCTCTCAAAAAAAAAAAAATCAGTCTAACATGATAAATAATTGTACAAATTCATAAATATAACCAGATATCAAAAAGGAAGAGCCGGGAGTAATAAGAACTGCAATGCTTACTGAGAAAACAGCAGAGATTTCTGTTCACACACAACTACAATTTCATGTACAACTGCCTTCTTACTTTCTCACCTTTAAGCACGAAGTCAGACACTCTGGTTGGTTCATCACACAGGTTACTTTTGTGCATTCTCCATAAGCTTTAGCAGTCATTTTTATCTACTAATAGTTGAAAGCAGGACTCCCTAAGGGAAATCTCCAAACCTAATTTCTTGTCATCTTATTAAATATGCAAATGTTTTGGACAAATTGGGTCAATATTGGAGCCATGGACAACTATCAATATTATTAAGTTTCCAGGAAGGCCAGAAGGTATAACATTGAATGTGCTCATTGGCTAATTAGTGACAACCCCTTTAAATGTCACGATGCTCACAAATCTAACACTGAAAGAGAAGTGTTTCCAATTGCTTCAACCATCCAGGATGGCAAGCTTCAAGATTAAAGTACGCAAACATACTCACATGCTCTCATCAGTTCATAAACCTTCGGGGGGCATCCCTCTGGCTGTTCCATTCGATACCCTTTTTCCAGTAGATCGTAGACCTGAGACAAGTCAATACCCGGATACGGCGACATTCCGTACGTGGCGATTTCCCACAACAGTACCCCAAAGGCTGTGTAAAGAACCCAAACAAACAAAAAACGGGTTACTGTCACCTCCCCAATGTCTGATTTATATCAGCATGTAACTTCTTTCCCAAACTCTAGGTGACACACACAGACAACACTGACGCTCCATCGATCTGCACTTGTCCTTCTAAGATGTCTGCCACAGGAAGGCAACAGATAACCTTAAGGCAATTTTCTCTAAATTTCGCAATTTTCAGTTAGATTTCCTTTACTTAAGAAGTCTGGGCATAGTCCAAGTATTCTTTGAACAGTCTTTGCTGTACTTAGTGAGTTTTGAGGTGTTGAAATCAGCTAATATCAGGAGTAAAATAAAAATGAATTCATTTAAAATCAGTAAAGTTCTCAATAGAAACAACTGGGAGCCAACTCTGTGGTGCAGCAGATTGCACTGCAGTGCTAAGAGAAGCCAGACCCCCTGGCAGCCTAAAACATAAAAGGCACACACATGAGCACAGCATCCGAGGGGCTGGAGAAATGGAAGGGGACCATGGCATGACCAGTGCCTATGGAAAGTGCTCCTCTTCATCATGAATAAAGAATAATTTTTAATAAAGAATTTGCTTGATTTTGTTAAATCATTTCTTTTTTCTTTTTTGGAGAGGTTCTGGGTATAGGGCGCGTGCGCTTACCAGAAAGACAGAGACAGAGAGAAAGAAAGAGAGAAATCACCCCCCAGGGGGGATGGTCACGTCACAATCCCTTCTCCTCCATTCTCCTCTCGGGATCCTGGGCACGCACGCACACGTGCCCGGTGCGAGTTTAAGCCACCAGGTCCAGACTTGAACCGCGGTCAACTACATGGGAGTTCAGCAACACAGCCATTACGCTAAGTACAGGTCCTGATAGTAAAATTATTTCTGAGCTCAGATTTCTGGTTAGAAGTGACTTAGAATCCTACAACTCTTTTCTACTGGCCTACAACCCAAATTTCCAGACATATTGAGTCTACTAAGTCTCTACTAATTCATACTGCTTTTCAAGACAGTAGAAACAAGACAGATCTGTTTCAATGACAAATTCTAAATGAAATCTCACCAAGCACCCCTTAAAAGAAGTGCTCTGGGGGCCGGCAGGTGGCATGGTGGTTAAAGGCGCTGGACTCCCACATGGCCAAACACAGTTCAAGTCCTGGACCTGGTGGCTTGCTTTTTTACTTTCCCTTTCTCTCTTTCTCTCTAGCTCGCTCTCTGTCTAATCAAAACTGGAAAATAATCATCATCATAATAATAAAGTTAAATGAAATTAAAAAAAAAAAGTACTCTGGATCACAGTGCTCTAGAAATGAGCACAACTCAATGTGGAAAACTGACACTTTCCAGAGAGGGGATCACTAGAACTCCGATGTACTATGGGGTGCAGACCGGAACCTCACTGAAGCAGGAACGTCTTTCCTTAAACTTTCTTCTTAGGCTTCTTTCTATGCTAAGCTCTTAGCACAGTGTTGGGCAGATAAGAGTCTTCAATAAACGCTTGTCAAATGAGGGAAGAATGGGAGTAAAGTTAGAGGACACTGAACATCAATATATAAGAGAAGATCTCAAGAATTCAGAGAACTTAGAAATAAAATGACACACAGGCAGGCCAGTCCCAGACCGGTGGTTTGAGAAACATGCCAGGAGCATATGCATGCTTACCCAAACTCCTGAAAGGAGAAAAGGAGGAGAAAAGATTAAGGCATGACCACACTCATTGGACAGTGCTTCCTCACTTCTCTCTCTCTCTGGCTCTTTCCAGCAAGAGCACAAACCCTTTGGCAAATTAAAAAATAAGCGCACACGAGAAGAAAAAGTCCCTTCCAATCTTACCCCAGACGTCAGATTTAATCGAGAAGGTGTTGTAGGCCAGACTCTCTGGGGCTGTCCACTTAATAGGGAACTTGGCTCCGGCGTGAGCAGTATAGGTGTCTCCAGTCATCAACCTACTTAAGCCAAAGTCAGCCACTTTAACCACGTGATTTTCTCCCACTAGGCAGTTCCGAGCTGCAAGATCTCTGTGGAAAAGAGAACTATAATGTGATTCTATTCAGATGGGAGAGAAAAATGGCCAAGGGGCTCTGTTCTTGGTTATTTGTGCTAGAGTGTAGTTCGGAAATAAGAAAGTGCTGAGAAATGTGGGATTTTCTAGGAATTACAGACATCGTAGAGAGCCACTATATATCACTGGTAGGTAACTCATCGAGAGCTAGTTAAGTGAAACCAGATTAAAGCAGGCTTTATAAAATGGCTTCCTGTTTGTAAGTTGTGACAGGCTCCAGAGGTGAGCAACAGAAGCTTTTCTACAAGGCTTCAAGGTCTTCACAGACACAGAAAGCTACTTTTGAAATCCAGCCACTAGATGGCGCGAAAGGACCATGGATACAGTGCCAGGCAGCCCAGAGCCCACTTTCTGTTTTGAGACTAGCAAAGCTACCTCAGGGCTACAAGTTAGAAACGACATTGTAATTATTTCTCTCCGAGAGAAAGAATTACTTTCTTCAATCACCTTCTGTAAAGGTTCTCACATTTTCTCCTTCATCTGTATCTCAAGCAAGATTCTGGTTACTGCAGACAATGAGGGCATACACACCTATGGATGAAGTTCTTCTTCTCCAGGTACTCCATTGCAGAAGAGATCTGAGTGGCCATGTACAGCAGCACGACAGCAGTCACCTCTTCTCGGTTGCATTCTCGGAGATAATCCAGCAGATTTCCGTATGGCATGTATTCCGTCACAATGTAAAATGGCGGCTCCAAAGTACACACACCTGGCGGGTAAGGAGCACCACTTGTTTTATTAGTGTATGTTCAAATGCTCCAAACCACTTTGGCCAAGAATAACTCGACAGTTTTTAAGCAATCTTTGGCCTTCTCTCAAATTAATACATCAAAAATTAAGAAAAACAAATATAAAAACAAGACAAAATAAAACAATAATCATTTATTGAAGTGGATTCATACATGGAGCTTCCACCACAGTGGTTCAGAAGACTGTGGAGAGGACAAGGGGCACCTCCGAGGAAAGCGTCCTCACCTAACAGCTGTACCAGGTTAGGGTGCTTGATCTCCTTCATCACGGCGGCTTCCTTCAGGAACTCCTCCACCTCCATGGTATCTTCCTAGAAAAAGGGAAAGGTAAGAAAGAAAAAGGGGACAGGGCTGAAGCCCCATTTTAAGGTTTGAGTCAACTCATAATCTTTGAAGTTCAGCCTTAAGGGTAAGAGAGAGTCTCTTTTGAATATTTTAGCACATTGCTTTAAGAAATTTTATCACAACCTAATATGCTCTATGTAACTCTGATTAAGGGAAAAAAAATACTCTTGAATGTATCCAACATTAGAAACTGGAGTAAAATTGAGTAAGGTGAGCAACATTCAGCAATCATGTCCTACAATCAACTGAAACACGGGCAACTTGGACTGGGTAATTCAGGTAAGAGTTTTTGTCTTTAGATCTCTCAGCCTTTCAACAAAGAGACAGAACAGGGAGACACTCACAAGTCCCATACCTTCCTGATTAGACAGTAAGGTTCTTTTTTTGTGTGTGTGGAGAGGTTTTTCGCTATAGGGCGCGTGCGTTCACCAGACAGACAGAGAGAGACATAGAGATAGAAAGTGAGAAATCACCCCCCAGGGGATGGTCACGCCGCAATTCCTTCTCCTCCATTCTCCTCTCGAGATCTTGGGCACACACGCACACATGCCCGGTGTGAGTTTTAAGCCACTGGGTCCGGGACGCAAACCACGGTCAACTACGTGGGAATCCAGTGACACAGCCATTACGCTAACTGCTGGTTCCCGACAGTAAGGTTCTTGAGGAGCAACGCATGTTTGCAAGGCCTCCCATACTGCTTCACACACGTATGTTTCAGAATATGCTTACTAAACAGAGATAACTACACTCCCAGGGGAGAAACAGCCCTTAGGAGTGAGATAATAGTGCTTCCAAGGCTTTGGGAGCATCTTCAGAGAATTAAATGAGTGACAGCCCTGTAACTGGATACGCCTGGGTGCTTAAAGAAGGGCTAGAGGAGCATGAGGAAGAATTCTGTGACTAAGAAGACCAAAAAGAGGGGTGTCTAATTGCAGAGAAGGGAAAGCAGGAAGCAGGTAGGTAACAGACAAAATAAGGAAGAGCCCCGTGATCCTCAGACAACGCACAAAGCATTCTGCGCAGCAGGGGCTGTTCTCAGCAAAACAAACTGTTTTGCTTTCATAACTTGTAATTTGCTTCTAACCTCCCACTAAGGTCTACATCAACAGCCTCCAGAGACAAGCCTTTCCGACATGTGGGTTTCACTGCATTGCTGTGAATCATCTGCCCCTGTCAGCCATGGCACCAGGGTTAATCATCACAATTTGCTGACAAGCTTGGCACCGGTGGGTAGAAAGTGTTCCAAAGTTAAAGAAGGGCACAACAGATATTTCTAGGTGATCCAGCACAAAAGAAAAAGATGCCTGAAAAGTGTTCATTCCCTGCTACTTACCTTCAATGTTTTCACGGCAACTGTTAGGCTGTATTTCTTCCAGACACCAACGTAAACCTCTCCGTACTGACCACCCCCGAGTTTGTGCTTCATGGTAATATCTGTTCGTTCCATTTCCCATTTGTCATGGATGGGGGACACGCCGTAGACTGTGGGCTTATTACACTTGGGTGCTGGGTAGTGCAATGTTGTCACCAACCCATCAGCCACTGTGGAGTGATGGTGAACAAGCTCTGCCAAGGTGCTAAAGCGGCTCTCAGCAGTCACGTACACCTGGGAGAAAAGGAGACAACTGAGCACCTGAACAGAGGTTAGGAATTAAAAACAAACAAAAACCAAAAAAAACCCACTCAGGGCCAGCAGATGGCATAGCAATTATGTCACTGGACTCTCACATAGTCGGCCAAGGTTCAAGTCCTGGACCTGGTGGCTTAAAATCCCACCGGGCGTGTGTGCGTGCATGCCCAAAGTCCCGGGAAGAGAAGGAACTGCAGTGTGGCCAACCTCTGGGGGGTGATTTCTCACTTTCCCTCTCTCTCACTGTCTCTGATTCTATCTCCAGCAAGCACACATGTCCTAAGGAAAAAACCTCTTTAAACAAAACAAAACAAAACACAGAAATCTGTGGGCCGGCAAGTGGCATCATGGTTAAGGTGTTGGACTCCCACATGGTAGACCACAGTTTTTT